TGGATAACCAACAAAATAAAATGTTCCAATCATCAAAAATGATGAAAACTGTGAATACGAAGCAAAATTTTCATGTTTCATATTTTTTGTTAAAATTTCAAAACTATCTTTTTCTGATTCTACATCCAAAACTGAGTATAAAAAATTAACTTTGACATTTTTAACAACCAAAATGAACTCAAAATTTCCTGTGCTATTATCAAGTCTCCAAGATTGCCCACATCAATGATCTTTTCTTTATTTTCACTTGTCATAAGAGGCATTTCAGATTGTCAAAGAAAAAAGAACTCTTTTATTATACGAGATAGAAAGGTAACATTACCCATGTTTGTTTATCTCTAAATGTGTGATTGTGCTTGTGATTGAAGTTTACAACACAGTATTGAGTGGTAGAAACCATGACAGCAGATACATAGTTTGGTCATAAAGTTAATACTTATGAGACAATGTCTTTCTCACAAGTATCAACTTCTTTCATTTCATCCTCCCCATCTATTGTAACTGTTGAAAACGAATTTAAGGAAATAGTTTCATGCTAGAGATGCACAAGATTTTATATATGCTTGATGACGCAATTGTTCTCAAATAAGATATCCAACTTTATAGTCGTCGGTTCATTCAGTTCAGACGCAGTAAAAAAAATTTCGACAGTCGGCTGTCTGTGGCATCATACTGTCAAAATCTTATGCATCTCTAGCATGAATTGACCAAACTAAATATCTGCTGCCATGGTTCCTGCCACTCAATACTGTGTTGTAACCTTCAGTCATAAGCACAATGACACATTTAGAGATAAGACATGAGTAATGTTTCCTTTCTATCTCGTATAATAAGAGTTATTTTTTCTTTGACATGGTTAGAATCAGAAATGCCTCTTGTGACAAGTGAAAAGAAAGAAAAGATCGTTGATGTTGGCAGTCTTGGAGACTTGATAGAAGTGGAGAAAAAACGTGAAAAATGCAAAATGAAATGGCTGATTGGTTCACAAATCTGTTCTACTATTTTCATCCTGTTGATGATTGGAACATTTTATTTTGTTGGTTATCCAATAATTCAAGAAAGGCAAGTTCACACTTACACAAGTACATACCAGACAAGTACACAAGCCGACTCTAAGCAAAAGGAAGACATTGTGACCCTATATGCGCTTGACCCACTTGCCCGCACTTTCTGCTTCTGCGACGGGAGCTATGGCATGATGTTTTCAGACTGGACGCTTTACAACAGAGGCAGTGACATTGACTTCAACAGTTACACGACTGGCAGCTTTTCTGTTGGTGTGGAGGGTGGTCGAGTTGGCATAATTATCGACCTGGGTTCCAGCATAGATCTACAGAAAAAGTACAAGTATCAGGAGACGGTGGGAAACGGCCAAGGGTTTGCATCTATCCACCGAAAAAATAATACAATTCTTATCCGTAACGGTAAACCAGATAACCATACTTTTCAACCAATGGAAGAATCCGACGAGCTGTTCCGAGAGGGAAGATCAACCGCGAGCGCATCCGTTAACCTTGGACATGTTTATCTCCTCCGAATCACCGATCGCAATGAACGTGCTTTCGAGCGCGTCGTCAAGATGTTAGTGATCGCGTACAAAGTGAACGAATCGGTTACGATCCGATGGGACGTATTGGAATAGTTATATGAATACCAGTACTGTTAATTGAGGATACAGGAAGTAACGTAACTTTGGTATCATCATTCACACTAGTGCAGTCTGAGATTCACAGGTTCAATAACTGGTAATGCTTAATTTCAATCAATACACACAGTTTTAATGTCTCTTGGTTTCTTACTTGATAATGATGTTTTACACTCAGTTGTTGAGAGAAAAAAGCTGTTTTTTTTACCGTAAATTCTTATGCCCGCCTGTTGCCTTGCCCGAAAGTAAAAGTCTATAAGTCTAAACTGTTTGTTTTCTTTCATTTAAGATGAAAGACGCAGGGTGGAAAATCATTGAAGGTTACACTGTTCCAATGTGGAAGAATATGAAAGATAATAATATCCATTCGAATTAGACTCTGCACAAGAGTGAGATGATCTTACTTCCACAAGTTAAATTGAGTGGATTGAAATATCGCTGTAACCCACCAAAAAATAATTTCGAGAATTGAGCAATAACTTCTGAAGAGAAATAAAATCCTGAGATTTTTCTAAAATTTGGAAACAAAAAATAATTTCGATGGATTTTTCGAAAGCGTTGGAAAATTTTCGATTATCCATCTTAGATGAATTAGACGCTAGGAAAAGATTACTTAGTTGTCGAAAGAGATGGCCTATAGGTTTGTTGTTCAAGTTAACTTGGTTCCCTCCATGTTTGCAAAAACTTGGGACTATTGTCGTTATAAGTTCTGGAAATCTCAAACGCAAACTATAGAAAATCAACAGCGTTTGCTCTTGTAGAATTCCGTCGGGTATTACAAGTTATCTTCCAGAATGAAATCTCCTAAAATGCGACACTTGACATTGAGAACCAAATCTGGCCTAAATCAATTTTTAAACGGTTACGCTTTTATATTAAGGAGATCGGAAAATTGGTGTGAGTATTTATACATTACGAATAAAGTTAATCTCACACCCAAGTTGGCGTGTGAGTATCCGACTCAAAGCTAAAAGTAGCTCTTATTTCGGTAGCACGTTTGGCAGGTAGCACTATTGACGTGTTATGTTAAATCGCCAGTCAGGTATATAAACGCGTAGAATGCGTGTAGGGTCGAATAAGAGATTTTTAATGCCAAATGCAACGGTGGTATCAGTGTCTGCTGGAGCTTATAAATAAAAATTTATACTTCGCATTTTAATAGTCTCTCACAGCAGTAGGATACTCATATTCTCTCTTACTTAAAAGTGAAAAGCTTTGAAATTATTCGTTCGCGTTAAGATGGCGGCCCACTCTTCTCACCCGTTGAACGACACACTTTCGACCAGCAAAAAACAACTGCTTAAAGTTGCGCCTCAGTCAATCAAGCTTTCTCCAGGAAAAAAGCGAACATTTTGTACGGATATAGTTTGAGGTCTTTTTTCCGAAGGATTTCTTGAAAAACTCAAGCAGTCAGCGTTACGACATCAAAGAATGCCAGAATATTATTACAAGGACGAAGCTCGGTAGAAAAGAAACAAGCCGATTCTTAGGATTTTTGTTCGGTATCATGATATACTTTTGTGATAAAGTATACATCTATCATAATTATGTGCTTTTTGTGCAAAACTGAGCTTTGACTTCGACTTTACTCTGCAAATCCCATTGAACTAATAAACGAGCCAAACTGTAAAAGGTGTTCGCTCATATCTAAATTAAACTAGAGACTCGCTTGTTATTGTATTCTAAGACACTGTCACACCACCTTCCAAAAATAAGCTAGCTAAAAAGCTTACCCCGAGGAAATAATAACTGTTTAAGGAATATGATATATATAAATTTTGCGCGAATGTTCGAGGAACTACGTTTGTCCTGGTTCTCGATTTCCATTATTGTGAAGCACTCTCACTAACTGTACAATTTATTCAATACTAAAACATATCCCATTTTTTTATATTCAAAAATCGTGCTCTTTGAAAATTAGTCCTCTGATATCCACATATGAAAGCCAGCGCGTAGGGCCATCAGATGCATTTCAAAACTTTGAAGCTGACTATTTTTATCGAGATATACGGTAGTTTTTTGCCTACTGCAGGCAGATAAAATATTGCTCTTTCCATAGGAACGCGAATTTTCGATTTTATTGATTAGGACTATGTTCGTACTCTCTATTTGTATTCAATGTCAAAAAATGTAGAGCTCCGAGGCGAATGTTTTGTAATATTGTTGGAGTGACTTTGATCTAAGTTGGATCTTATTTTTAAAAACAAAGTAGCATTAACTAAATATGTGAATTTTGTACTTAGCACTAATGATTAGCTGATTGTGAAAAAAGCGATGATGATTGTAGATAAGCGCGTAGGCGAAAATGACATTTTCGAATCATAAAGTAGGGCAAAAAAGCTGGAGTAAAAATAATATATGCTTTTACATAAAAACCATGAAAACTTAACGTTTTTAGTCTTTGAATATCATTTTGTAGTCCTCTAACCCCTTGACGGTGAATGACACAGTGGAGGTAGGGTTTGGGAGTTCACCGTAAACTATTGGTTCCATTAGGCCATGACGACTACGAAGAACATTAGCAACTTCCTCAGTTGTTGCAAGCCTACCATTGATAAGAAGTTTGATTAGATAAATCATAGTAATCGATCGATAATCTATCGGTCAGATGCAAATTGGTGGATGAAACGAGCTTGAAAGTCGACTTGATATGCATCGCCTTGTGATGCCCATGTATACATTTGAGCCTCGAATTCTTGTCTCCAATTGCCTCGGTTGAGACTTCGATTCTGAGGAAACACATTGTGTCGATGCAGTCTACCACCCAAGTGATACAACACGGTCTGTATCATCGCCATTGCGTCCGCAAAGCTCGTTACAAGCTCTTCCCTTCGCATTTGTAGCTCTGGACTCACCCCGATCCCGATGTTTTTTACCTATCACAGCTCGTACGTATGGGGTTCGGTGTGAATTAGACTGTTGTGCATATTCAACAACGGGGTCAGTAAAACCCAGACCTTTAGTTAGATGTGTATTAGGTGGCAAGTTGCCAGTTAATGTCACTTCTAGTAAAGGTTGTTGAGCTGTGGAATCGTATCCCTTGATAGAGCGACGAGCGCGGGATAATAACCGCCACCAGCTGAGCCACCGGAAGCTTGTACTAAAATAAAAAAGCGGATGAAGCAGTTAGGAAGACTCATACGACAGCGATTGAATTATCGTACTTTATTTATACTATGTCAACACAATTTAGTTTCAACATAGTGCGTGGGTTTATAGAGATCCTTCCGCAAACTCACTAATAGTACATATAAGTTCATATTCGTAACCAGCTTTGCATGATCTGTAAAAAAGACCATGTTTCAAGCTAAAAGTGATCTCTCAGTTGGAGCCATTACTTCCCGTACCGTCCGGTCTCAAATTATAACATTTAATCCCTTCTAACAGTCGTTAATAAGCGCGATTTCCCCTTACTCTCTTTTTTTTTCTCTTCTCTTTAGACACTTCAAATGATTTACTTGTTAAAATACATTCTGTTGGTATAAATCCATTCGATTCAATGGAACGTAATGGTTAGGGTCATACACTTTAAATTTGTGACGGGTAAAACTAATTCTGAATTACCCCGAATATTAGGACGTGATGCTACTGTTACTGTAGTTAAAATTGGGCAGGGTAAAACACAAGAAAAATACCATGTTGGGGATCATATATGGATCTCAGCAGATCCATTAAGATTAGGTACACTTACCGAATATACGATATGTACACATGATGAATGTGGATTATTATCCGAGAATTATAGTACCAAAGATAAATGGATGGAGTTAACCGCAGTATCTTTTGGTATGACAACAGCATGGACAGCATTAGTTACAACAGGAAAAGTATCAACAGATAGAGAATCAGGTAAAGATCTACAAAACAGAGAAGACCAACTTGAGAAGTAGAAGAGACGGAAAAATTGAGAAATTGGCAGTGCGGCCGTTTTCTGTCCGCGATTCTTATTTTTAAAAACAATCAAATGTTTTTAACCACCGTTGCATTCTGAACTAAATGGTAACTTATTTAATTTTTAAAAATATCGACTTTCATTTTTCTAATTGAAAAATTTTAAACTGATGTACACCTGTGGAGCATTTAAAATACTGAAAAACGAATTTTTTGAGATGTTGTTTTGAGATAAACTTTTTGCCCATAATATCCGAAATTTAACGCTTACTATGAATGTGTGGTTGATTTTGTTTGATTAAAATTTTTTATGAAAGTGCGACAAAATTTTTTTCAGCACGAGGGATTTATGATCTCTCTTCGATTTTTAACCGACAGCCAATCCAGGGAGTTACTTTGAAAACAGTGAAACGTACATATTAAAACGTTTCTCTATCCAACGTACGTAAAATCAAGTTTTCAGAGTCAAGCTTGGGTCAGTTTTTAGACAAAAACTGAAAAATTGCTGAAAAACGATTTTTTTCAGGATCCTTGAAGCGATTTTGTCTGATAACTACGTTTCTATATATGGATCAACATTTCAAAATGTCACGTTCACTTTGAATATAGCTTAAAAAACGAACAAGCTAAATGTAGAACATGGTCAGAATTAGAAAACACTTGAAAAATTCGAAGAATTATAACACGAATACCATTAAAACGTGATTCTATAAGCCAAAACAATCGTTAGCACGCATAAAAATGTAATATTTTTTTAATCAGCATTAGAAATGACTACGAATGATGTAGCTTTCGATATGTTTCAAAGAAATATTTTTGCCTTGAAAACTCCTTTGATCAATTTTTTAAACTATTCTCCAGTTTTGATTACCCTTAATTTTATTACTCCTCTATCTTTTGTTTATTCGTTCGTTTCCACCAGGTCTTAGTAAAAAAGCATTTCTACATGGTTCTGGTGGTACTGTCAGTTTAGCGGTAATTTCTATTCTTCGTTACTTTAAATGGTCAGCGATCGTTGTCACATGTCAAGGTCAAAATCAAGTTTCAGAGTCACACCCATTGGTTACAGAAGTCATTGATGTTGAAGAACAAAAACAATTTGCAGATGAATTAAAGCTTACGAAAAAAGGTGAATCTTCTTTTTGGATGGTGTTGGTGGTGATCAATCTGAAGATTTAGCAAAAAGAATTTTGAAATTGAATGAACATTGTGTTACATTGAGATAAGAAGTAGAAAAGTTGCTTAGCTGGCAGCTATTAAAATTCAGAAGAGCAACTTAGTCTGGAATCAAGGTTTACTATAAGAAATAAGAAGAGTGCTTTTTATTTATATTTCAAAATGCCCTTTGGGTATTCGAGGATACGGAAAAGGATATTTTTAAGTCTACAGAACAGAAAAAAAAGGGTATCTGCATTTGTTACTAATCAGAACCAGTTTTGGTTTCCCGCTCCCACGATACTATTTTTTGGTTTTTTAGAATACGATATTTTTTCGCACTCACAGTTGACGAGTTAAGTTTTATTTTGTCCTACAGATGTCATTCTATCACCCAAAAGACAACAGATACAAAATTTTGTATGAAGAACGAGCATTTCCCAGCGATCAGATAAGAAGCCAATTTTATTTGCTAATAATATATAACTATTTTTTCTTTATTACAGTATGCAATTAATTCACAAATTGAATTACGTGGTTATGATCCGAATGAGTCGAAAATTATCTTAAAAGCAAAAGAGATAATTATACTGCGTTTTACATTATGTGTGAAATTGCTGATAGTTTTTCATATGTCGACACTTTAGGGTGAAACCTATATTCGAAGGAAAGACATTCCTGATGTGTTAAAACGCGAAGGTGAATCGATAGCTTTGATATTAATAGGAAGTATTCATTATTATACCAGACAATTGTTCGACATTGAAACAATCACTCGTGCTGCACATGAACAAGTATGTATTCTGAACTACGTTTATGTCAATCGACTTTCAAACATAAAGTGTCGTTTTGTTTAGGGCTGCTACATCGGCTGGGATCTTGCTCACGCGGTACCAAGACGATATACCATTGAAATTACACGAGTGGAATGTTGATTTTGCAGTGTGGTGTACATATAAGGTACAATGGTTTGCAAAAAGACTTGGAACAATCTGGTAACACAAAGATTCATTTTTTTCTAGATTCTCTTGAGCCTTTGTTTTACTGTCATTGTAGATTCATACCTACTTGATTATCTACTAAAAATATTCATCTATTGTATTAATTAATTTTTGTCTTTATTTAATAATACCGTGACATGACAAAGACTAATAGTCTGAAATCACATCATATTTCTGTATTACATTATCGGAACATAGGAATTCGTTCTGCCAGAAAAATCCACTGAGCTACGAAGATACCATTGTCTACAATTAGTTACCAGTTGAAAAAGCTCAAAACTCAAGGTTCTCTACAATATCGAGCGGGCAATGATCGAAAACGTAAGACTGATGCCAAATGCAGTCGAGCCTTAGGTCAATGTATAAGGCAAAGTAATGAAGTCACGTTGCACGAATTGGCTGAAAAACTACGTAATCAATGTCAATTGACTGTTTCCACCAGCACAATCTCACGTCATTTAAAAGGACTTCAATATGAAAATTGTTTACCATTAAAAACACCAGTGTTGACACCCGAACACAAAAAACGCCGAGCTGAATGGGCTAAAGCACATTTAAATGACAATTGGAAATCTACAATATTTACCGATGAATATTTCAATTGTTTAGAAATACAATTCGTCGCTGGTCAAAACACGCAAAAGAAGAAAAGAGAATAATTCCAAAGAATAGACAAAAGGTTCATGTTTGGGGTTCCAGCAGTTATCGTGGAACAGCTGGGTTTCATTCATTCCAACGTATTATGAACAGTGATTATTACATCGAAATATTAGAGAACAACTTAATTTTAAATGCTAAACAAAAATTTAATAATAAATGGCGACTTCAACAAGATAATGATCCTAAGCACCGATGCCCAAAAACTCAGAAATGGTTGGCAGCAAACGTTCCACATGTTATGGACTGGCCATCGAATAGTCCGGATCTGAATCCGATTGAAAATTTTTAGAACATCATGAAACGTCGAATTGAAAAAAGAAAACCAACAAATATTAATGAGTTGGAATTTTTATAAATGAAGAACGGATGAACATTGAAAAAGGTGTTATAATCAATTTGATAAACAGCATGAAAAATAGATGTCTCTTAATTATTGAATCGAAGGGAGAACGAATCAAATATTGAACTGTATATTATTACTGTAAACTGATATGTATTAAATAAAAAAGCATTTTTTTGAAAGCGGTTGAACAAGACGTGGATGCAGGCAAAATATTTGTTCCAAGTCTTTTTGCAAACCATTGTATGTAGGATTAAATAGATGGGCTATATTCGTCACTTGAGTGTGGTTTCAGTATTTAGATAGTGGAGCAGGATGCATTGGTGGATTATTCATTCATTCAAATCATTTTCAAAGTTAATTATTCAAACTGAGTGGATGATGGGGAAATCGTGACTCTACTCCAATATGTGACAGACAAACACAACGGATGGATATAGGGGAAAAGCGATTTTACCCATAACTTACTCACTAATTTCTCAAGGTTAATAGTTAATAGATTGCAAGTATCGTTTAAAGTCCA